ACGGAGCGAATACTAATATATCTCTGACGACGCAAGCGCGAAACAGTCGTCACTCGAATGACGACAGACATATGATCTCGTCGTCAGACATAACCTAGATTAAGTGGAAATAACATAATTATGTTATTTCCACTAACAATGCCAATCTTTTGGAGGGGGTAAGCCAAAATGCCCACTTTTTTTAGAAATTATGATAAGAATGACAAACAGCGAGAGAAAGGTAAAAAAACCAATAGGAGAGCACCAAAGGAGCATGGGTTTTTTTACTTCAATTAAACTCTCTACCCATGACCTGCACAGTACTCACTTTTTTTGGTGAGTGATAAACTCTGAGCTTGTCAGCAGGTAGTGTATGAGAACTTCCTCTAAACGACAAGTGCCATGTTGCAAGGAACAGTGAGTGATAAACTCTGAAAGTTGGCAGGTAGCATATGAGAACTACCTCTAAATGACAAGAGCTGTCCTGCAAGCCATTTTCCCATGTCTTATAATTTAAACCTCAACATTTCATTGAAGTGCCCCGATGTCTGGCATTTTATCTTGTAAAAAATTTTTGGGAAGTGGTGGTCCAGATGATCGTTAGAAAGAGTTTGTTGTAGTTCATTGTTCTTTAAATGTCCAAGTATTGCTAAAAACTTAATTTTTTTTATTGCTTCACTGCTACAAAAAATAACCCAATAGATCTTCAGCCTGCTGGGGACCCTTTGGGCCCAGATGACCGAAAATTTATCCCTACCTTATTCCCACTGATGCGGGAAATAAATAGTGATAGTATCTATTTTCAAATTATATTTGCACCACACTTTGCTCATAAACAGATATTTGTCTGATTGGTTGATGTAAGTAATTGCCTGGTAAATTATTTATGCAGTTTAAGAATGAATGTTTCACTGACAAAAAATCACCATAGAAACCATTTCTAACTTCAAAGGAACATCTATATTCACTGTACAAAAATAACCAAAATAAATCAGTAATATCAAGAACTTCACTTAGAAGCAAACATTTACTACTAGACTAGGGGTTGGATCCGGGTAGAAATTGTTGATATATGATCATAATAAATTACCTGGACAACCCAGGTAATTTAATAATACCCGGGTAGGGATTTTCTCAACGGGTCCAACCTCTATACTAGACATATTGGGCTATATTGATATGCAAGTTCTAAATCTCAAAAACATTAATAAAAAAGAAGATTTGAGACATTAGATTTAACTTTAAAAAACTTCGTGTATACCATTTGACATGCTATTATAATAATAATAAACTTGTACTAACACATATATTTTACGTATTCTGAATATTATTAATAGCTTTAAGTAGTAGATTAATAATCTGTATAAGTATAGGAGTATTATTGTTTCATTAATTGTATAAGCTAAATATCATATCACAGCTCTAACAAAGTCGCAATAATTAAAATAAGACTGAATTACTTACTTTTCTAAAGATAACGATAATATATAGGTTTGATATTTTATTCACATATTGAATTTTTGACCGATTTGAGTTTGGGTTTATTAGTGATAAAATATCAATTTACTACATTTTACGCGTATTTATCTGTTTCTAAGTATGTGATAAATTCTTTTTTACGTGCATTTATTAGATTGTAAGCTTCTTTATGAGAAGTTCTTTCATTTTTTAGTGGTATTAGAACGATAAATCACAATATACCGTATAACCCGTTTTCACCCGGGTACCCGATTTCAAAGTTATACGGGTGACCCGGGTGATAAATTTGCATCCGGTTCGGACCTCTAATCGCGTATACGCTCTACTTTGAACGTAAACGCTCTATTTTGAGCGTAAACGCTCTTGCATGAATTAAGCCACCAAGAATACATAACGATAATAATGCCTAATACTACTAAGGTAAGGTTAACATGACTAGGATGGTACAATTATGGAAGGTGAGTGACAACTTAAAGAATTAGACAAATACGGAAGTGATGAGACACAGGAAAAATTAATCGTTACAGTACCAAGCTATAAAAATGCCATATATAAATGCACACCTCTCTAAATAAATATTCTCACAAATATTCTCACAAATATAGATCTGTTTCTTACAACAAAAATTATTAATATAACGCAAATACACAATAAATAACAGATAATGAACACTATAATCTGACACTGTACGTTATTAATAATTATTAGTCTGCTATTTATACAATTATTGCCATTATTGGGATCCCATTATACATACCTGATACGTACATACGTACGTACGTACGCATGTGTGTACGTATGTACAAGTCTGGAATTCATAGATTTGTTTGCACGATTTTCAGTAATTAGATAAATTTAACCAATCATTATAATGTTATAAAGCGCAAAAATTTTGAGACAACAGCGACATGTTGCGATATCATATCGCTTTAATTACCTGTAAAAGGTAATACTATATTATAAGGATTGTCGCAAAATGAATAGCTGGTCGTATTAAACTTTATTACATGTGAATGTAAATAAATATTTACTTTGTTAGTACTTAAAAAATATGTCATTAAACCGAATAATTATTCACAAAAGGAATATTTATCCGCATTAAACCACGTCGCTCGAGAAAGCAGTTAATACTGTGTCATCGAGTATCTAAAATATATAAAACAGCTTTTTTTTTCTTTTTTTTTTTTTTTTTTTTTATAAATGGAATATAATTTAATTTGCAGCTCTGCTCAATGAAATTGTTAAAATTCTGTGCATTCACAAGGTAAAAAATTCGAATTTTATTTAACCATGGTATTAAGATTATTTAGGATAATTAATGTGCCATACTTTACGTACTATACTCTAAAATTTTATCAATCGCTTTTAAATTGAAAAAAAAAAAAAAGAAGTTTCAAAACATTAAGGAGAAAGGTAAAGAAAGGTAAAGAATATGTTATCATATTTCGCTTTAAATCGCTTCCTTGATGTTCGCCGACTCTTATCTAGATATAGCCTATTTATGATTGCAACAGTGTATAGTCAGTAAAAAAACTTTCATTTTTTTTAAAAATTCGCTTTATCTCAAAAGTTTACACAACAAACCGCCCTTCAACGCTATAACCAGATATTTATCGAGATTTTTAAAGCTTTAAGAAATACAACGTTGTTTTATCGAGCATTACGTGTACGTACAAACTGAGTCTTTCGTCGGTAAGTTAATCAATGAAATTTGTCGCGGACATTAATTGCGAGAAAATAGTAATGATAGTGTATTGCAACTTCCAAATAAAGAAGGATGAAACCAAATATTTACAGTTTGTTTTTGATCATGAGATTCTAATCTTAATCTGTTACTAGTTAACTTGTAAAACGCTAAAATTCTTTTTTATTATTTATAATATAGATAATAAAATACAATGGATCTCTACAGTATAGGTGACCCCTAAAATGTATTACAATCAATTGATCGCAAATAAGGGTCATATAGGCTGCAAAAAGATCCCCAATTTTTTGTCATATTTGATACCAGCGAATTAAAAAAGGATCTTGATGAAATGACTAGCAGGAAATCAACTACTTTTGAAATAGTCATATTTACGTTGCATTTACTAAGTTCTTCCTTATTCGAGGTGTTGATTAATGATAGAATTGATAATATGGCTATGAGCTTTCATGTGGGTATTAAGTTCCGTGATAGTATATAAATAGCACGACATTAATCGTAACAATATACTAATTCTGACAGCGTTGATAATATGGTAGCAGAATCAGTGTCACAAAGTTGAGGAAATCAAGTCCAGTGGCAAAATTGATGCAGTCATCAACGGATTTGGCAACATGGAGGTAAGCAAATGATTTAATTCGGTGCCATAATCAAGATGCGATTAAGAGCTTGCGGAATCAGTAACATGAAGTAAATAGGATTACGATGAACAATCGAGTCCGGTAGCAGAATTGTTAACAGTATTGAAATGAGTTATTAGGCTTGACAAAGTTGATGATACGGGATTGACAAGTGATTAGAATCAGTGATGAAATCAGTAATAATAAGTTCTAGATCGGAATTGTTGGCATGGAATTGAAGTGAGTCGTCAGACTCGCCAGAATCAGTGATATAAATTATTGAGTATGGCAGGATTGTTGGCATGTAAATGACGGGAGTCGTTATGCTCAGTAAGGTTGGTGATGTGCGATTGACTAGAGTTATCGGCAGAATCGGCAATATGCAATTGACGTGAGTCGTTAGGCTTAGCAAGATTGGTGATATGCGATTGACTAGAGTTATCAGCAGAATCGGCAACATGAAATTGAAATTTGCAATCGAACCCAACGGTAGTACTGTTAATATAATGTTGAGATGAGCCGTTAGTGACGTAGGATTGAGATAAGTTATTAAGACCAGTATTAAAACTATTAACATAGAACTGAGGCGGATGATTAGAATTTGTAACAATATTCTGAGATGAGTAATTGATTGTGTCAAAATTGTTAGGTTCAGCAGAATTGGCGACATTATGCTGAGATAAACAATTGAATTCACCACCAGAATCGTTGTTGTCAATTTGAGGCAAGCTATTATCAAAGACAGAAGTGACATATGGTTGAGGTAAGCGGCTAGGTTCTGATGCTGGATTGAGAAATTCACAAGGTCTGGGTAGTTGCGATAGCAATTTCAAGAAGACGTCGATTTTTTCTATGCATATATGTTGCAATTTTAACATTCAAATCTGATTTAAGAAGACCAATTTGCATGTTTCTCTTACCTTGCGTCATTTCTAATTTAAGACCATTAATACTAAGATATATTTTATCAACTTCTAAGCTAAAATCGTAGTCAATTGGTTTGTCTAATAGAATAATCTTGTAAGAGTGATAAATGATGAAAAATAATATATAAAAAGCAAAAATGGGTATACCTTCTTCAGTTTCCTTACAGTTATAGCATTTGGGTGAGTTTTTTTTGTCCTTATTTTCTTTGTAACATTTTTTACATTGAAATATGCATGCAGTTTGCTTTCTCTTACACTTCTCACACCTAAATTTTCCTGGTATGCCATTATATTCGCACTTTTTCTTTTGCTTACGGCAACAAACGCATTCTTTTAAGATATTATCATTCATGGATTTAGAAAGAATTCGAACAAAACTTACAAGTATACTCTTGCTATATACGTATATGATAGCTTTTTATCCATTTTCGAGCCAGAATCTCGCAAACTTTGATTCAAATTGTTGGGCTAGGTCAATCTTGGGTACAAGGTATAAACAATTCGACTTATTTTTTCGCAAAAAATCATGTGGTAGCTGCTACATGTTTTTGCAATTTGACTTCAAAGTTTACTATCGATAAACAAGATGAGAGTTGAGGTAAGAATAATAATGGAAGTTATTGAATTGAACAAGACGATTCCAATCATTTCTAATATCATCAATTTATAAATAAATTCGTCATCTCAGCTTTAATTCACTAAGAAAACTTTGTAGATTACTGAGTTATTTCGTTGTTTTTTGATTGTTTGGGACACAAACTGAATACCGACAAATTTCTTCGGAAAAGTATTTAAATGAATGATTTATTTTTGGAATTTCTTTAACGTTATCAATTTTTTTTAAACAAAACAGAATGGTAATAAGTTGCTGTCAATAGTTATTATAAATCTGTGCCTTTATTTTAAATAGTATATCCATATTTATCTTTGGTTAATAAGTTAGAAATTTAATAATTTATAACATGGATCATTTTGAATATCGAAGAACCCAGGCTTGTATTTCATGCAGAAAATCGAGGAGAAAGTGCACAGCTAATTCTTTGCATCAAATATGCGAAAGATGTCAAAGAAATAATTTACAGTGCATCTTTACAGATACGAAAAAACGTGGACCTAAAGTGCAAGAAATGCCTAATCAATCACACTTTACACATATTTTACAACCACCGAATGAAATTAATTCTAGCCTTGATTCACAGGTTAGTAGTTATTATTTAATAAATATTTGTTTTATAAATAGATATTAGAATTAAATAAAGAGCTCAATCTCAAGGATAACTCGATAGATGAGATACTATCGAATAGATGCGCAAGTTGCTACGAGCACAAAAAAGCATGTAAACGCAATGGGACTCTAGGAAGGTTCAGATGTGACAGATGCAGAAATAGGAAAATAGAATGCTTGATTCAATGTGTAGAATGTTATAAAAAGAATAAAGACAAAAAAGATTGTTTCCCACAATGCTCAAATTGTAAAGTGACGAGAGAAGGTAACGAAACATACTCATATGATTAATTGCCAATATACTGTATGAACAATGTACTTATATTTTTCTTTCACTCGACTTGCAAGACCCTCCTAAAAATTTTATTTCCAAGTATAATATCATTATGGATGTGAATGACCAAAAATCGTACCTTCAATATCATAATTGTGATCATAAAATTGAAATTACTTCTGGTAATGTTTTTATATGACCCGTTGCGATTTTCCAGATGCCATTTTGCTGATAATCATTTCACTGGCAAATCTCTAACATATATTGCTGGTGATGTGATTGTCAGGAAAGTGAGATGTCGGGAAATAGTCTTGTTTCTTAATGGTTTAATTTTAACTTTAATTTTATAATAGCTTTATTAGACGCAATGATGAAGTCATATAAAACTGTCAATCCAATACACCAAACGGTAACTTTCTCTACGAGCGATAACACTGAGTACTCAAGCATCCCCGATCAATGGCATCATCAATCTTCACTATTCCCATATATTAATTATGATATTGGAGCATCATGGGGTAATTAAATTAAAAAATATTTATTCATTATTAGGGGGTTTTTTTTTCGATTTAACTTAAAACTTTAAATCAATTACACGCAAACAGCATTCCCCTCACTATCTGTCATAGATCCAACCTACTCTTGTACTTTAACGCCATCTAATACTTTCATACCATATCAAGCAGTTTCAGCACAATTTCCCATTACTAGTCCTCAATTTACTTCTTGCGAGAGTAACTTTTATCCGGCAGATCTTAGTCCATCTACTATTAATCACCAATTTGACATCTATAATACCGACTTTGATTGAAAACTTTAATTAATATTTATACTGTATATCTATTTATTAATGATCATGTTAACTCGCTGAAAATATTTTAATAAAAAATAGAATATTAATATTTGTAGTGTCGTGCTCATTTTTGGATAATCATTTTCGTAACTTAATTGGTTTACAGAAAGTAATTTTGATCATTGTGATTAGAATTAATGTTAGTGCAATTTATAAGAAAGGAATTTTCTGTGAAAAGAGTATTAGATGAAGTAAACTTGCCTGTTATTAATTATCTGTGAAATAAGGTGTCTAAAATGATTGTTGGTGAAATAATATGGACCAAAATATAAGATTTGAATTATAAATTCGATTATCGTGAAATAAACTTTACCTGATTTTTAAATAGTCTTGAAATATACGTATTACTGCTTAAAAAATAGCGTAAACATTTATTTCTCATTGAATATATTGTTTATTTCGGCATCTCTAAGAAACAAAAAAAAAAAAAAAAAAAAAAGGAAAAAGAAAGTTGATAGAATGCTATGCTGCTTCGGCAGAAGTGGCTGAAAAATAAAGATGAAAATTTCTATTATGACAAATTGTAGCTTATTCGTGTAACCTTTAATGCTATTAAGACTTGAAATGATATATATGCTAACTTATACTATAAAATTTAAGTTTTATTTAAATCTATCTCTTAATTTGTAAATTTAACATGTTAATTTGCCTGCTTAGATGTTATAAATTTAGCTGATTTTTTTTTTTAATTATTTAAAATATTTAAATAAAATTTGATATAATAAGTATTTTAAAAATCTTATTATACTGTATAACTAGATTTGAGTTTTTAAATAAAAGTTTTTGGCTCAAATTTTGTATATACAGTATATTTACAGTACTCAACCGGTTGGCTGATTAAAGATCAAAAATAACTTTTAACTAGATCTATCATACTAATTTTGTTTTACATAGAATACAATAACTATACGAACTTAATTCTGTAACGTTAGCTCGACTCTGAATTAAATGGTTAGAAATTTTTTGCATTTACTAAATAATCTTTACTGCTTATTGCTTTTTGTGCTTATTTTATTATTATTATCAAAAGATTATTATATCATAACCTCTACATTTGTATAAATTTGTTGTGATAATTATAGTAGCTTATAAATTTTATCTCTAGTATAATATAAGATATTTCTTAAAAGGACTATAAGTAGTCTGCATCTCTACAACGCATAGAACTTTAGAAACTTTTTAATTTGTTACAGTAAAAAAAAACTTAAATTAGTGAATTGGATCGAATGCACTTTAAGAAATCATAATTTATCCATGTATCTGTCAAGAGTCGGAATTTCTTCGGAAAGACCTTTCCTTTTCCTTATGGCTTTTACAATATCGGAAACTTTTCCAGGTTCTAATGGTGAACCATTCATTAATTGCCCTACATTAATTGATTTAAAAACAATTTCAGAACAAAAATAATATTAAAAAGAGATTAAGGAGAAATTAAATAGATACTTACAATGCGAAAATATGCCTACAATAGTTATTAAATAAAAGAAAAAAAAGGGTTATTTCATATTCATTTAAAAAAAAAAAAAGAAGTTTAAATAAAACAAGACATATATATATATATATAATATACTTACTTTGAGGAAACGCCTGACCACCAGTAGTTGATCGTAGGACAGCTGCAAAACCAAACGACTCATTTACCTAACCATTTAAAATTATATTAACAAATTATAAACTTAAGTATACATAGATAAACCATAAATTACGAGCAGAATACTTACAGGCAAATAAGCCTTTATACTAAACAATGGAGTACCAAGACGTTGTTCTTCAACAATGACATTACCACGACGTTTGTTCAATACATTATAAACACCACCCAAAGCTTGTTCTGGGCATTGAATTTCAACAAGATAGACCGGTTCCAAAATACCAGGATTTGCGGTCAAACATGCCGCATAGATTGCACGGCGACAAGTAGGAATTATTTGACCACCTCCACGATGAACAGAATCTCTATGCAACACTACATCAATAATATTAAGTCGACAAGAACGCATATTTTCTTCTGCACAAACACCTTCCTTTGTAGTCCATTGGAAAGCAGCGACGCAAGAATCCTTAATTTCATTAAGATATTGAACACCTTTAGTTACATCTACTAACAAGTTTGGCCCAATAGAGTCTGGACCGAAACACCAAATTTTACGAGCATCAGTTATATCCCAGCCAAATTCGTCGGCGAGGACACGAGCACGCGCTTTGAACTCATCATGTGGTGTAATTTTTCCGGATTCTATACTAGCAGAAAGTTCTTCATCCATTGGATAAGCTTTCATATATAAACGATTATGTTTATTAGGAGATTTAGATAGAGCAGTAGCAGTTGATTCAGCTCGAACAGTTTCACGGTATGATACCACAGGATCACCAGTCTTGATTGGGACTTGAGCATGATCCTCTTCCAAATCTTTTAAACAAATTTCTAAATGCAATTCACCAGCACCTGCTACAATATGTTCACCAGATTCAGATATATAACATTGAACGCAAGGATCTGCTTTAGAAAGTCGTTTTAATCCTTCTACTAATTTTGGTAAATCATTTGCGTTCTTCACATCAACAGCAACTTGTACAACAGGTGAAACAGAAAATTTCATAATCTTTAAATTATGTGCAGTTTCAGAAGTTGTGATTGTTCCGGATTTAAGTAAATATTGATCAACACCAACAATGGCAATAATATTACCGGCCGGGCAATCATCAATGGGCTCAATGTAACGACCCATCATGAGAACAGTACGTTGAATGGGCTTTACAGTCAAATCATCTTTTTTTCCAGGTTGATAATTTGGACCTTGAATACGGACTTTGAGACCAGAACGAACAGTACCAGAAAATACACGACCAAGTGCATAGAAACGACCTTTATCAGAAGTCGGTACCATTTTAGATACGTATAACATAAGGGGTGCATTAGGATCACAATTACGGATACCAACAGCGCATTCATCATCAGCAGGACCTTCATACAGCATTTCAGCACGATATTTTTGAGCGGTCAAAGGAGATGGAAGATGAATAACTATCATTTCAAGTAAGGCATCAGCAGCAGGTAAAAATTTACGCATAACAATTTTTAAGAGAGCTTTTCCATTCTTTTCTTTTTCTTCGCTATTAAGTTTAATTTCCAATTTTTCTAGCATCATATCAACGGTGTCCTTTTTAAAATTCATGATAGCATCAAATAATTTAAATATAGGATCCAAGACAAGTGAACAAAAAGCACGTTCAAGAGGTTTTCTTTCAGGAGTAAATGGTTTTGTAGACCATTTCTTTGTAGCAGGATTAAAATAATTTTCACCCCAAAGTTTTTGCATCATTTTATCTTTATTAACACCAAATTTTTTAGAATAACGTCGAGCAAACTGACGTAAGGTAAAAGCCCAACCATGAAGACCAGAACCGAAAGCAACAGTACCCTTTTCTGGGTCAACTTGAATTTCACCCAAATATTTGTCACTATACGTTGAGATAATAACATTTACAGACTCGATAGTTCGTTGAAATGTCTAAATAATAAGTTTACAGCAATAAAATTAATTACATATATTCATTTATGTATTTGAAATGAAAATGGAAGCATAAAAAAGAACATACAGTATACAAGTCTTCTTTTGGAAGTTGTAACTCTAATAAAGCACGATCAACCTTATTAATGATAACTACTGGCTTAATACGTTCAGCGAGAGCCTGACGTAGGACAGTTTCAGTCTGCACACAAACACCTTCAACACAATCTACTACAACTAGGGCTCCATCAGTAACACGGAGAGCAGCAGTAACTTCTGAAGAGAAATCAACGTGTCCGGGGGAATCGATTAGGTTGATCAAGAATTCATTACCTATAAAAAACGGTAATTAAAATTGAATGAAAAAAAAGTTTTATGATAATGGTCCTGATTAAAATTCATAAATATACCATCGATCTCCTGTTTTATATCGTGTAGATTTTCTTCACTCAATTCAAAGTACATTGAAATAGCCGTGGATTTTATTGTAATACATCGATCTTGTTCGTCTTTACGAACATCAGTATAACGAGTTTCACCAGCTTTCGCAGAAGCGATAATACCGGCTTTAGATATCAGGGAATCGGTAAGTGTGGACTTTCCATGATCGACGTGCGCGATGACCGACATGTTACGCACGTTAGAAACGCGGTCCATCTAATTGATGAATTGTATAAAATTTGAGTTTACTACTTTTAATTTTCTTGATTTTCGTCAAAATTATATTCATATATTCATCATATGCAAAAAAAAACGGTTTACTTACAAGGGCACGAATTTGATCCACTGTAAAATTCACCTATTATTCATTTGTAAAGGAAATTATAATTTTTTTTTTAAATTAGACATGGATCGAACTTATTATGTAAAAGGTAAAAATATTTTTTTTTAGGTATTATTATTATCATAAAAACTTTTTACACCGTACCATATTTTAATAAACTAATGGAAAAAAAGAAAAAAGAAAAAAAATTTAGTAAGGACTGTAATGCAACGTAAGAAAAGTTTTTGGCTCATTTTATCACCTTTTTATAATGTTTTTTTTTTTTAATGTAGTCTTTCTATATCGTACTGTACAGTACACTACAGCCGCAGTCATTCTGGTATCATAACACTCCAAATATTAATATGCGCAGTATTATCGTTGTTAACTGAAGTTACTTATTAAATTTTGTAGATCACTGCGTATTTGAATTTTATGAATCTCGTGTTATTACGCAGTAATCATTTTAGACTGAACTTTTCAAAATCAAGGTGGTTTCATGAATTTTCATCATATCAAAATAGAAGCTGCGCCAAATTTTTAAGCGAAGATATCTCAGCAACTATCTGATCAAATTCAATGAAATTTTTTTATTATTTGAATTCTATAGATCCATAGAATTCAAATAAAAAATTTCATCAAATTTGATTAAGTGGTTACTAAGATATCTTCGCTCAAAAATTTTTAAATGTTTATTAAATAGAAACTGTCTCAAATTTTTCTTAAAACTTTGAGCAAAGTGAAGATATCTCAGCAACCCCTGATCAAATTCAATGAAAATTTTTTTATTTGATTCTATGGATCAGATGGTTGCTGAGATATCCTCGCTTAAAGTTTTGGGAAAATTTGGCGCAGCTTCTTTTTTGAAATTATGATGAAAATTCATGGTACCCACCTTGTTTTTGAAAAGTTCAGTCTGTAAAATCTTAGCTCAACTCATGGAGTTACTACATTTTTTTATTCTTGTATTATAGGCGAATTTTTATTTTTATTTTTATTTTTTTAAAACTTTGATGTCAGCAACTACTTAATCAAATTCGATGAATTTTTTTATTTGAATTCTACAGATTCAAAATTCAAATAAAAAAAAATTCATAGAATTTGATTAGATGGTTGCTGAGATATTTTCGCTCAAAGTTTTAGGAAAAATTTGAACCATAGCTGCCGCAACAAATTTGGACCGGCAGATCCTCGATTTTGATTGGCTAACGGCCGAAGATCTTCAAAATTTTGGCCCACATTACAAAATTGTTTACTAAATTCCGGCCGGAATTCTTAATTTTTTCATTACAAAAATAGGGGAACGTTCGTTTAGGGTTAGTTTTTTTGATGCAGTTATGGTTATTTGCTTTATAAAGATATCAAGAACGCAATTTATGCAATTTGTAAATCATTATGTAAACGAACCTGGCTTTAACGGACCCCAAAATAGAAATTCTTAAAAAATAAGCCCGCATTATGGTAAAATTGACCCAGAAACATTAGTAAAATTATGAGTAATTCCGGCCTAATTTTTTGATCGTCGCTCTTAGCCAATCAAAATCGAGAATCTGTTGGTCCAAATTGTTGCGGTAGCTATGGTTAATGACGAAGTTTTTAAAAGCTTTGAGCGAAGATATCTCAGCAACCACATGATCAAATTCGATGAAAATTTTTTCATTTTAATTCTATGGATCTATAGAATTCAAATAAAAAAAATTTCATCGAATTTGATCAGGTGGTTGCTGAAATATCTTTGTTCAAATTTTAAGAAAATTTTGGCGCAGCTTCTATTTATACATTTTTTAAAAAAAAACTTTGAGCGATGATATCTCAGCAACCACCTGATAAATTCGATGAAATTTTTTTTATTTGAATTCTATAGATTCATAAAATTCAAATAAAAAAAATTCGCTGAGAAATTGCACACAGTCACGTACAATCGATTGTAATCGTCTACAAATTTTATCAAAAGTCACATCAATTTGCAAATAGCGATAATTTACTCTACCCTGCCGACTCATTGCCCTGACACTGAAATGTTGACATGCCACTTCATCTATAGCACATTTTTTCAATAAGGCATATATTAAATATTATGTTTTTCCGACACATAATTCCAATCAACACTAACTCTAAATCAGACCAACTCTATTGCTAAACTAGGCCAATTTTATGTCAAGAAAATAATTGTTGCGGCTGAAGCTGGAAATGGCATATGCTGGAAATTTTAATTATTTTAATAGAAATTTTCAAAAAATTTCTGGGCCTTTTGTTATGGGTTTTTTTAGGGTTAGGTTAAGGTTTACACTGGTGATCATAAATAATGCATCAAAAAAAAAATTTTACCTAGATCGTATTATTTCCCACAATCCCGGGTGTATCCTTTTATTTTTTTTATTTTATTCGTGAATGGTGTCACTGTTTACTTGTAGAATTTTATTAAACATCTATACTGCCAATCCGAAAATAATCACACGTGTGTTACGAAACACATGATGCATTATTTTTGCTTGTTTTTACCAAAGATCAGATGGCTTATGTGTACTATGTGACATATTTTTATAAATAGATTTTCTTTGTCTGATTTTGTATCATGTGCAATGTTAGAATTAATTGATAATCAAAAAAGCAAAAAAAAGAACCATACCACTTCTGCCCAAAGAGCACAAATCTTGCTCTTGCTACAAAAAGGATATACGACGAGGGCTATAGGCCGGGCTCGCCATATTGCCTCCTCCACCATCTTGTGAATCAAGAAAAGGTGGCTTGAGAACCAGGTGCTCCAAGATTTAGGAAGGGTTGGTCGCCCACCTTTGTTGGGTGAACCAACCCAAAGAAGAATAGTAAACCTCATTACCTCCCATAAGTGCTCCACTGCTGTTAAAGTGAGGGCCTATTACAAAAAATGCAGGTATGGATATTTCGGTATCAATAATTCGCTGTATACTTCGTAGCCATGGGTTAGTGTCAGGTTAAAAAAAAAAACTGTACCTGAGCGACAGTCATTGAAAAGCGCAGCTCGCTTTTGCAAAGAAGTATGAAAATTGGACCGTCAACGATTGGTCTAAAGTAATCTGGTCCGACAAATCTAGATTTAAAATTTTTGGGTTAGATAGTAAGCAATACTATTGGAAGCATCATGGAGAACCATTAAACAAGTTCCACGTAAAGCCCACTATGAAATACGGAGGTAGTTCAGTTATGATTTGGGGTGTTTTAGTGTCTGTAGTGTCGGTAGCTATTGCAAGGTCAATGACACGATGAATAGTGACTTGTATCAGCAGATAATTCACGAAAACCTAATATGGACGATCAGAGATCAAGAATTTGAAGCTGGTAAGGTAACTTTCCAACAAGATAGAGCATCTTGTCATATGGCAACTTTGACAAAACGTTTGCTTAGAAGGAATAAGGTGAAGTTCTTTGATTGGCCCCCCAATCCCCCGATTTCAACCCAATCGAAAACCTGTAGGACGAAATTGACCATCGGTTGAGGGATCTCTCTGGACAAATTTTGAGTTTGCCGGATCTTTGGCAAAAGATTCAAGAGGTCTAACAGGCGATTGATGATAAAACCTGCAGAAGGCTGGTTCATTTGATACCAGACCAGATTCATGCGATAATTAGGGCTTGGGGAGGGTACACCTAATGGTGAAGGTGGAGAGATTTTAAATAGAAAAAAAAAATTTATTTTTTTTATATAAAAAAAAATTTTTTTTTATAGCCGTGTTGTTGCAAAAACGAGCAAAAGTAATGCAATATAGCATTTGGAATAAAGCTCGTGCCCATGAAAAATTTTGTTCATTAAATTTTTGTTTTTTTTTATTAATGATAATATTGGTATTGGTGAATAAAATAAAATAAAAAATAAAAGGATATACCCAGAATTGCAGGAAATAATGCGATCTAGGTAAAATTTTTTTTTTGATACATTATTTATGATCGCCAGTGTAGGAGTAGTTTTAATAATAAATGGACTTTAGTAGAGTTTATATTTTTAAATCAAGGTTTCTAATTTCCAGCTATATTTGCAACAATAATTGTCAGAGAAATGTCCTGTCTAAGAAAAGGATTTAAAAATATGTAATCAGTATATATATGTATTTAGTATAATCAACATATTTTTAGCAAATAGTTTTTATTTGTATTTCTCACATGCTTGCTGCTAGTAACAAGCCTTCAAAGTTAACTGGGTCAGGCCCAGGCCCAGTCCGATTAGGTCTGACCCGGTTAACTTTGAAGGCTTGTTACTGGCAGCAGGCATGTGAGAGATACAAATGGAGCCCATTTGCTAAATTGTGTGTGTTTATTATACTAAATACATAAGTACCAATTGTGGAACACTGTTTTTATAACCTTCGAAATTTTCAAAATCAACTGGTTTTTTTCTCTGCACCCTAGTTGGCATTAAGGTTTCAAAGAAAATAAGTTTGTAGAAAAGTAACTTCATTAATTGAGCAACAACCTACGGTATATGGTAAAGATTAAACTGGCTTGTATTAGAATTATTGGTGATTTACTGTAAAAAAAAAAAATTAGCACTACAGAACTTACAACAATTGCAGTTATACATAATGTGTTAAGATTGAGTAGTTTGTACTAAGCTATTGTTATTTTTATTCATTATAGAACTTATTAGTTATAGTGACATGGTAATGCAATTGAGTTAGTTTGAAGTTATTACAATTTTTGTTGTAATTTACTTACTGACTATTGTAGTAACACACTGCTATATAGGATTATAATATATCATGATTTGGTTTAAAACATTTGACAAATGATTGTGTAATGCATAGTATGTGAGAAAGGTTGGGTTAGTTTGTACCAATATTATCATAAAAATTTCTGCTACAGAACTTATTAGCTATAGTAATATGCAGTAATGGTGTTAAGGTTGAATTAGTTTTGAATTATTACAATTTTTATCACAAATAAAAAAATTGTTAAACTTACCAACTTTTGTAAATTGAGCTGGTTATATTGGAATAATCTAATTTCTATTGTAATTTGCTATAAAAAATTTGGCTATAGAACTTATAAGCAATTCTTGCGAGTATTGTATATAGTAATATTTGAGTTGGTTTGTAATAGAGCTATTATAATTTCTATTATAGTTTACTATAAAAAAATTTTGTTACAGAACTTGTTAGCTATAGTGATATGCTGCAATAGTGTAAAGATTAAATTAGTTTATACATATCAGAATTATTATAATTTCTATTGACATTTACTGTCAAAAATTCCAAAAACTTACCAACTATTGTGGTGCAATTACATGTATTAGAAATATCAGATTTGTTGTAAAAATTCAATTACAAAACTTTCAAGTGATTGTAGTGATTCTTAGTATGTGGTTTATAATGGAATTATTATGATTTCTATTATAGTTTACTATAAAAAATTTTATTACAAAAACTCATTAGCTATAGTAACATATAGTAATAGTGTTAAGGCTAAGTTAGTTTATATTGAGATTTACTATGAAGAAAAATTTGCAGAATTTACTAACTGTTGTAAATTAAGCTAGTTGTATTGGAATTATCTGTTTTCTATTGTGATTTACTATAAAAATTTAGCTACATAAATTACAAGCAATTGTAATGTGGTTAAGGTTGAGTTGGTTTGAATCAGTTTCTATAGTTTACTATAAAAAGTTTCTGTTACAGAATATAGGTAATATCTATAGTGAAGCAGTAATATGAGTTTGTTTATATTAGAATTATTACAAATTCTATCATGAATTACTTTCAAAAATTCTGCAAACTTATCAATTATTGTAATAATACCTATAAGTATTAGAAATATCAGATTCTATTGTGATTTGTTGTAAAAATTCAGTTACAAAACTTACAAATAATTACAGTATATAGTAACAGTTAAGTTGGTTTGTAATGAAGCCAACATATTTCTATTATAGTTTACAGTAAAAAATTCTACTACAGAACTTATTAGCTATAGTGACACAAGTAATGAGATTAAGGTTGAGTTAGTTTATATTGGAATTATCACAATTTTACTGTACAAGAACTTACCAACTATTGTAGATTGTGCTAGTTTGGGATTTTTGGTTTAATTATTTCGCTATAATATAAGTGGATTCCCAACATATACAAAAAATTTTATTAATTGTTAATAATTAATTAACATTATGTAATTATGAATTTGAATAGATTTATTTAAAAAATATACTTATTTTACTCATTAAATTAGTGCCTTTTTGTATAAAACAAATACTCAATTTATAGAACATTTATTACTTTCAGTTTTAATAAGCTATTGTTACGGGGTGATTTGTATCCTTTGATATGAAAAATATGAAAATAGATAGTTTTAGGTGATTAGGCAACTCGCCAGAAGCGTGACAATGGTGATTTAGCAATAGTTTAGTTTTAAAATAATATTATCAATGTGTTTTATTCAATGTTATATGTTAGGAATATCATAATCCCGTAGGATAAGATGTCCTTTACAAGAGGGAAAATATAGAGTTTATATAACTTTCGCTATACTAATGATCTCAAGAGGCTTTGGGATAAATTAGATAAATCAGATCTTTCATCACAAAAGATCAAGGGAAAATCACTATAACTAAAGGGGCTTACAAAGATAAGTACAACATGATTATAATAATGAAGTCTTTGCCTTTACAACATATTCTATAAAACTATTTCTAATTATTTCTTGATTCTTGTTTTCTTCTCTTTAGATCTTCATTTATTCTTCTTGGAATTCTTCTTCGGATTTCACGTTGGTTATCATTTCCGTTATTTGGTCAGTAAGCCTCATCTGGAATTCTGATGATCAATCTGCTTAAAGTCATGAGTTTGCTGCGCCGATTTGTCGATCTACCTATTAGCCCGTGACACTATTTTTAGAAAATATATTTACCAACTGTTCATTTCCAGACAAGCTTTTTTTTTATAAATCGCACTAGCTTTAAATCTAATCTAAACCTAACTCTAATGACAATGACTAAAATTATCTTGTGAAATGAACTGCTAGTAAAATGAACTGTCTATAAGATGAACTTTTCTATGAATTAATTGTCTATGAACTAAGTTGTTTGTGAAGTAATTGTCAGTGAGTTGATTAAATCTGTATTTATTTTCTGTAAACTATTATCTATTTCATTATAAATAATAAAACTATATATATAGACTACTATTTACTCATTATCGCTCTTTTCGATTTAATTGGATCGATGAATTTTCAGGTTTTTTTTTTGTCCGTGAGTTCCATCATATGTCTGCATATAATAATTATTTGTAATTGTTAGTTTTTTATTGTCATAACATAATAGACAGATAACAATTAGTTATATGCAAAATTCTTTACTCTTGTTCATTTTAAATAAATATTCTATTTACAGTAGCTTTAGCTCTGAACTTAATACTGTAATATTATGCATTTATCTAGTAAAAACGAATGGAATAAAATTATTGAGATCAGAGAGTCTGAAGATCATGTGACAGCGTCTCCGATTGTTACTATGTAGTTACACCTGATTTGCTATAAAAGTTTCAAGGTTTTTGAGTTTTTTTATTCGCCACGGAACACTACACGATTTATTTATGCGACAAATTTCTTTTTTTAATAGCTGGAACTAATGCATATCTCTTCAATAACGCTAAGGACGTTGCCAATGCTCCGTATTCATATGTAGCTGAAATTAAAGTTATTGATTCAACAATGGGTGACGAAAGTATGCGTCGATCTTATAATCTAAAATTTTTACAAATTTCTAACCCACTATTATATTTTAGTCGGTTCCAGTGCCCCGGTGAGCCTTACAAAATCCATTCTCATGAATGATACTTCCTCTCTTGAATTCAAACCAATTACTTTTGCTGACAGAAGTTGATCATACCTGGGCCTTAGTAGAAGTTTCTGTATGTTTTTTTTTTTTCTTAAAAGTGATTTTATCAGAATTATTATTCATAAAATAATATTTTTCAATTTTATATTAATAGAATAATAAAGGAACTGGCGCGTTCAGTGATATTACTTATATCCAAATAGTTAACACTGCTTATGGTAATTCTCCGGCTAAAAGTGAATGTGAGTTTCATTTTCATTTGAAGTTTTAAATAATTTTCTGAAGACTTATTAAGTGTTTATTTTAGGTTGCGGAAAATATCCTGACGGAAATATTTCCAGTATTCCTACCCATGGTACCTTCTTATTCTATAAAAAATGTTAACAAATATGCTTATAGTTATCTTTAAAGTTATAGCGTTGACAATTTATTACATTTAAATGATCTTTGTACACGTATTAAATGTACAGTTTACCCTTGTTAATATCAACCTCACAAATTTCTACATATTAAAATTCCCTCATATATATCAACTTTAATACTGTATAATCCCTTGTTAATATCACTATCAACATGAATTTAAACCAATTCAAATGAGTTGATATAAACGAGGGTAGACTGTATTCATACTCTTCTCTAAAATTAGGAAAAAATGCATTTCTATACATGCTCAAGTATCACCAAAAATATATCATATGATCTAGTGGTGTTTTTCATAATGTTATTGTTCTCCTGTTCTTATAGACAGAAGGTCGTCTGATTGGTCGATCTATCTGTGATTACCCGTGATAATTAACCAATCAGATTATTAAAAATTCACCAGTTTAGTACTCATATAGAGAAGCTTAAAAACACATAAAATATTTATCACGTAGCAAATGTGGTAAAGTGGGATAAATATGATTTTCATTATCTGCTATTAATGAATTAAACCTCATCAAAAAATTTCATTGTATAAACCAAATCCTTAATTACGGTTAACAAACCCAAACACATTACAAGAGCAGATCAAATTTAAATATTAAGCCTTTTAATATTGAAAAGGTGTTCCTATTCAAATTAAATTATCAATAAAGGTTTTCAAATCTAACGTAATAGAGCAATTTAGGCAAAAAACGTCTCCAGCTACCTTTTCAATATAACTTTGCGTGGTCCAATGGACAGCAGTATATTTGTTTTCTAAGCAAAGTTCGTCAATTTTAAGATTATATTGGATTATTTTGCATAGCGAACGTTAACACTCGACTACTAAAGATGATTTTGCGATAACTTTTTTGTTAGTGAAACGACGTATTCCTAAAAAATACTTTATAATATCGATATATAATAATATATAAGTATATAAGTTATTGATTTACATCAGCCAATCAGAAGAATTTCTGTCGTTTCATGAACGGAACAGATAGAGATACGTAATACTAATTAATAAATGACTAAATGCAGCATTCAATACATAATTACTAAATAACCATATTGGGAAGCTTATAAATCTCTACTACGTAGTGTTTCCTAAAATGTATAATGTAATTTATATCAATGTTACGAGTGAAATTTTTATCATAACGCCGGCTTCCCAGCAAGTTGTAACAATATTAAAATCATTGCTAAGCCCGTACATTGTGGATATTATTAATTACTGTATTGTCGCACAGGGGTGAAATTGCAAATTTCGGCCTAAATTAAGATTAATTCGGCCAAACCTCTAAATAACGTCCATCCCGTTATTTTGCGACAATACGGTAATATCTTGACTCCATAATTGTGGCAAAAAAAATTTTTTTTTTTTTGCAAAATATTTAGAATCATTTTGTATACTTACTAATAAGAATAAGATAATAAAGCATCTATAAAAGAAATTTTATAATAAACAATAGAATATTACGCATTAGCATAGCAATTGATTTTTTTATTTTGGTAATAATAATTTTTATTCAATGTAAATAATTGTATTACATTTAATACGTGTACAGAGATCATTTAAATGTAATAAATTGTCAACGTTGTAACTGTAAAGATAACTATAAGCATATTTGTTAACATTTTTTATAGAATAAGAAGGTACCATGGGCAGGAATACTGGAAATATGTCCGTCAGGATATTTTCCGCAATCTAAAATAAACGCTTAATAAGTCTTCAGAAAATTATTTAAAATTTCAAATGAAAACGAAACCCACATTCACTTTTAGCCGGAGAATGACCATTAGCAGTGTTAACTACTTGGACATAAGTAATATCACTGAATGCACCAGTTCCTTTATGATTCTATTAATATAAAATTGAAAAATATTATTTTATGAATAATAATTCTGATAAAATCACCTTTAAGAAAAAAAAAGAAGACATACAGAAGCTTCTACTAAGGCCCAGCTATGATCAACTTCTGGATTGGGCGGGTCAACCAAAGTAATTGGTTTGAATTCAAGAGAAGAAGTATCATTCATGAGAAGGGATTTTGTAAGGCTCGTCGGGGCACTGGAACCGACTAAAATATAATAGTGGGTTAGAAATTTGTAAAAATTTTAGATTATAAGATCGACGCATACTTTCGTCACCCATTGTTGAATCAATAACTTTAATTTCAGCTACATATGAATACGGAACATTGGCAACGTCTTTAGCGTCATTGAAGAGATATGCATCAGTTCCATCTATTAAAAAAAGAAATTTGTCACATAAATATGATGCCACGTTAATCTGAATTTACATGAATTAAGACAGGATAAATACAATATTTGCAAGTAGGACCATCGGCTTCAGTACACCACTTAAAATGGAATAGTGCAGTAGCGTGCAACGCGAATTTGAGAACATTTCCAGAAGGAACCTTTAAGGCGTCTGGAATAACCAAATCTTTAGGAAGTTCTATAAATTATAAATAGAAATTGCATCTTAGTCATGCTTGAATAGATTTTATATCATGAAATTTAGATGGATATATTACCTGTGTTAGTACCGATTTTTTGCGGAGTCTTAGACATCTTATGGCAGTGAAAAAAAAAGTATTTGAATTTAACACAGACGAGTAAAAAAAAGAGCTTAGCTTATTTATAAAAATATTTCGATTAATAATAAAACGGCAATGAAATTTTATTTTAGAAATTTTTAAATTTTGTATTGGCAAAGAAATTCGTTTTAGAAAGTTTTAAATTTTGTATTGTAAATGATAAATGGGGAGTGTCACAGCAAAACAAGGCTTAGGGACATTTGAGTTTTGTATAAATATTTTGTAATAATTTCATATCTACAAATATAAACCTT